GTAGGTTGAGTCGTCGTTTTTCAGCCGCTACTCACTTTCGCTTGTGGGGGTTCGCGACTTTTGCGTTGCGAACTAGCTCAGTCGGGGGTCCCAATGATGTTTTCATTGTTATCTGGCTCGTGATTGTTTGCGTAGAAGAACGGTTTGCGCAGCGTTCAGGATCTTGCATAGGATACTGGGAATTGTACGAATTTCTTGTGAAACTATTTACGGTACCTTCTCCAACTCTTCTCTTCCGCAGTTATGCATCAAATTCATATTCATTTCTTCGACTATACCCTGAGGAAGATTAGAAAAACATCTTACAACTAAGATAACCTGCGTTCCACTATCACCGGTCCACTTTGTTTTAACAGCCAGAACTTGAGCTGCCATGAATCTCAATATTAATCGTACATTAATCAGCAAATAAAGCCTACGAGCAAAGCTGTTTTTTGTTTCGAAATTATACACGTTTCATTCTATAATTGCTTAAAGTAATCTTGAAAGCCCCCTAGGTTGTTGTTGTCGACTGTTTCTCTTTTATTCTCGGCAACATTTTTGAAGCTTTCACAGTCTTCCTGTGCAGATTCTAAAAAAAAACTTTAGATAGTAAACGCACAGATGGAAATCCGGATAATGAAAGTCGAACATTAGTGCGCACGCCCAAGATTTTTTTGCATCTTATATAAAGGTGCTTCAGCCTTTCTTTCCAGAATACTGAAAAGGATGTATACCAGTTTACATTCACAATGCATGGAATTTATAAGCTTGCAACGTGATGCTGTGCTGTCAAAAGTTGCTTTTTCGGGACGTTTTAACTAAATCAAGAAGGGCTATAAACACGGTGTATGGTTTTTTTTAATATTGTCTTACTATTTTCATAAAGTTTAGATAAGTTGAATCTGAGCAGAGGTTCGTTTACAAATTCTTACTTTGTGAAAAACAGCGCTTCTTTAGTTGAAGATATGAGTGCTGATGCAGTTCTTCCCACTTAATGACGCGTAAGATGATACAAAGACCGCGGAAGTAAAGAAACGACTTTGGGCAATATAATTTTATACTTTTTTCACAGCTTATGATCACTTTAGATTAAAGCAGCTGAGATAAGAACTCTAAAGAATCTAGCGCATTCTAAAAGAATTGCGCCTAGATCGATACTTTCACATTTCACGAGTTCGGCAGGATAATATGAAGTGAATATACCATGTTTACGCTCTTTTTCAAAGTGATCCGAGAGTGCAACTTTTGGTAATTCAAAAACATCGCAAACTGTAAGTTTAACGAAACATATCCCGTCTTTATACATCGTTTCTAGGTTTCGTGTAAGGAAGAAAGACTCGTCAGAAACTAGTTCATTTTTATTATAGACGTCTATGCGGTGGCATTTGACTTCCCTTTTCGAATGTCTCTGTTTTGAATAAAGTTGTTAGAAATTGCTGCATGGGCTGGAAAGCTTCAACTATGTTACTCTAGTGAAAATAAGAGCGGATTTCCATACAATTGTTTTGTTACAGACGTATATAGTGAGGCAGGCAAAATTTCGAAACAAAATTCCTGAAAAAACTTGAAACGAATTGGCGTGACAAGAACTTGCACACAAGGCTTCATAATACATCTGCTGATTATTACAAAATGAACAATGAATCTCCATAATAACTCCATCGTCCTGCTGAATTAAGAACAGACGCAATGCATACCATCTTACTTTAGGCGAAATATCATTTACATTTAGAAGTTGTAGTTTGTATAAGCGTCATCTGATATCATGAATAATACTACTCATAAAGCTAGTGGTAACGACTTTCGCAAAAATTTTCATTATCATTTGCTCCTTGTAGTTATGATCTTTCTCATAGTGGTATTGGTCTAATAATTATGTTCAACTGCCTTTTTAAAGACAAGGCACGCTGATGCATCTCTTCCATCTTCGATTATGGCTGAAAATTGTATAGATAATTGTAGAAAATGCTCTTTTTACTTGGAATTAGCGTTTGAGTGGGTGTAGACGGTTCATGGAGCAAAAACTTGATTTTCTGATTTTCTATAGTTCGTATGTCACCTACTCTCTAGTATGTCAGCCTGTCCAATAGTCTGCACAGTTTCATGTGCTTATGCATCTCTAACATAAATCGCTTGTCTTTTTTTCTTGAAATCGTCTTCTCCTTGACTATTCCTTTTGATTTCCGGTCTTAATTTTTTAGATTTTTCTTGAGGCTGAGAACTTCAATTGTAGAGTTTGTTTTGAGGAACAGCTATTTTTGGATAATGCTTTTCATCTTCATTCTTTGAGAGCATCGCAACCAATTCCGCCATTTTTGGTCTTTTTGGTGACATCATATATTGATTTAGATGTACAATCGAACCTCGCTCCCTTTGAAACACTTCCCACTTATTTCCTTGTTTAACGCATCCACCGTTGCAGTTTGCAGCCTGCTTTCATTTCACTTCAGAGGCGAGAAAATTCCAGCATTCTAATTCGTTTCATTTTCAGTGAAGGAGCGTTCGCAATTGTCCCTTATCAGTGGATCCGTTGTGGATTCTAACATACTGTTGAAGGAAGATAAAGGAAAGATGGCGGATGACGGATCGGCTCAAGATGAATCTGTGAGTGGAGGGCCTGGACAAGGTCTTCCAGCCAGCTCACAATCCCAGCCAAATCGTCCCCATAGTCCGCTACCTTCTCCCTCACATGGCCATCCTGATCCGTTGATGCCTGTGGCGGAAAACTGGTGCCATACACAGGTTTGTGCCATAACAACATTTACTGTATGTGTCTTACCGTACGTCGCTTTATGTTTAACAAAGAAAGATATGGTACAGAAGAAGTGTTCAAAGCATACCAATCACTTGACACCTTCATCTTATTATACCAAAATATCTTTTGAACTGATCTTTTCCATTTGCGGGTATGTATGCGAATGGGTTATTGTAGTGGTAACATTCAATTACCACTTAGTACTTATCAAAGAGTCGTCCATTTTAATCCTGCTCATCCAATTTCGATCTGAACTATCCACCTTATCCTTTATGAATAAGGTCGTAAATGTTGAGGTGGTTCATAATATCATGTCATTTGTCGATAACAAACTACACCAATACAAGTTTGTTATAAAGGTTGTAGTTCATTTTCCCCTTTTGGCATTCAAGCAGCATTAGTGAAGTTGAATCACTTGATAATAAGTTCAATTCGAATTTTCGTTATATTGTTATGGATACTTTTAGGTCAAAGTCGTTAAATTCAACTATATGTGGACTATTAACAATTTCTCATTCTGTCGAGAGGAAATGGGAGAGGTACGCAATAATTTCTTTTTACTCACTTTACAATTGTTCATCGTTGCCTATTATCAATTGATTTGGAGCCATTTTTTGCTGAATAATTGATTATCTCTGAAGATACTGAATGCTCTCAATCATATTGACGATTTCCTCTTCCTTTCTCCATAGCTTTGTGCCATTTATTCAACTTTGCCATCATACGATGGTGTAATTGCTCAGAAATTCCATTCTTACTGCGTCAGGCTGCTGCTTTAAAATTTATATTTGAAGGTCTTGAAATCGTCAACTTTTTCTGCCGGCGCTAGCGACAAGCTGAAATGGTGTCTGCGCATAAATCCAAAAGGATTGGATGAAGAGTCACGGGACTACCTCTCCCTGTACCTTTTACTCGTCCAGTGTGCAAAAAGCGAGGTCCGAGCCAAATTCAAATTTTCTATACTTAACGCCAAACGTGAAGAAACGAAAGCTATGGGTGAGCACATAGTGTTGACATCTCTCCTTCTTCCGCTGTGGCCGATGTTCAAACATTCAATGCCTTTTTTTCAGAATCTCAACGAGCATATCGATTTGTGCAAGGCAAAGACTGGGGATTCAAGAAATTTATACGGCGAGATTTCTTGCTAGATGAATCGAACGGGTTACTTCCTGATGATCGATTGAGTATTTTTTGTGAGGTGAGCATTCTTTGTGTCTTTTTTGCAATATGGGTGATATATCCATTTCGGTAGAGGAAATTTTGAGTTTTAGGAATATTTATGCCTCAGAGGAAATTAATTTTGAGGTAAAAATGTCATGTAGCTAATGATAAGTA